TCGCAGCAGTTTTTTATCACACTCCAGCACTAGAAGTACCTTGTATGAGAAGAATAAGTTCATCGCTGGAGAACCAGGAACCAACGCCGCGAACGAAGGAAAGAGGTTCTTCATTTTCCCGTTGAAGTTTTCCAGAATTTTCGGACCGAAAACCTCTGAACAGGGACGCAACACGGGAACCATAAGCAATTCTAGCTTGAAAGATACTGATCTTACCGAGTTCACTGATTGCGATCTTGTCAATAATATGAGGGCAATAAATGAAGATATGAAGTAGGGTGGATTTTTGTTTCAGAAGCCGATATGAATAAAACTAAATACAGTTAAAGTAAATACAGGAAAATAAATATTTCAAAATTTCGAAACATATATTTCTCTCAACTACCTACACAGTAGGTTCTGTGAATGCCTGCAGGAAACAACTACTTTCCTGGCTAATACCACGCTAGATATTTAGATCTCTGAAAAAATAATATTTAAAATTTTCTAAACTTCCTCAAAGAAGTTTGGAAATAATGCGAACCAGTGAAGAAAAAACTGCGAATATCGTAAGATTTTCACAAATCTGGAGACGGAGGCAAATTTCTGCTTCCGAAACGTTAAGATAAGTATCTGTGTAATTTTTTACCTCTTTTTTCAATAGGTAGAAGTATCAAATAGGACATGTTATCAATGAAGTGAAATTTTACGTCTTTCATTCACTATAATATGTAGCAATCCTTTGAATGAAATCTGATTTGATTCCATAACGAATAGTGTATTTTGTATAATTCACTATTCATCGAAAGTAATTTTTCTTTCGTGTTATTCAATTTTTATATGAAAGTAGTTATTTCGAGAGGGTTTTCTTTTCCAGTTTTTTCCAGTGCCAACCAGTAAACTGCATCTCTTGTTTGGTGCTTTGGTGCTACACTACTAACGCATTTTCTGAAAATAATGGGTTCCATTTGTACTAATCTTTCAAGGAAGACACTTAATGTATCATAAGTGTATAAATGTTAAGTATGACTGATGCATTTCGGTAATCATAACAGATCACTAATTGGCACGTTGCAACGAGTACATTACTTTTGAAACAAAAATAAACAGTATTCATAAATTCAATGATGCATGAAAATTTACAAGGTGGCTGAATAAAAAGGAGCCCTACTATCATTCGTGACCACCAAGCGAGTTGAAGTTTGTATAGGATGCAGTTTTGAAGCCCTTGATATTACTTCTGCGATGGTTTTTACATTTGGAAATTTCATCCAACAGTTTCGTCAAAAATTCACCACGAAAAGTCAATAAATCAGTAGAGGAACTGCAGCAAATTTGAAATACTGCAGGTAAGTTGGAATGCCTTGAATACCTAATTATTATAAGTGCCATCTGTGTTTTGTTCTTGTAAACTTATCGTCACACGCCATATGGAGCTAATGAGCTCTAAAAACCGACCGCTATCTTGATATTCTGGCTACCAGCCTCATAGAAGCGAAACGTCGAATTTCAAACTTTTTTCGGTAAGAAAGCAATCATTGATAATCATTTACTATGATGCATAAAATCTTTATTGTTATTATTTAAACCAATAAGCGACCTTTTTAGTTAATGGTTTTATTTTTATTTTGTTACTATTTTGAATACAGAGTGATCTTGCTGCGAACGGCGGCGAATCGAAATTTCACGGTCATCACGAACACTGGCGGATACAGCCGCAATATTTTCTTCGGTCCTCACTCTACTTATGCGTGTTGGTGGTTTAATGTCCAATAATGTAAACTGGGTTCGAAATATAGTCACAAGTTTCCGAATAGCTCCCTCAGTAGGCCGACGAAACTGCCCATAAATTGGAAGAAGTGCACTATGCACCTTCTTCACCAAGCATGAATTTTGATAATGAAATTCAATAATTTGCAAGCGTTGTTCATTCATGATACCAGCAAAAAAATCATTCTTTACTAGTGAATTCATGTGCCACTTTCAAATCGTAACAAATACTAAGCAGTTGGATCATTGGTTTTTTATGAAAACATAGCTATATCAAAATATATACTGATCCAGAATCGCTATGGGCTTGTGTCGTAAGAATTTGGTAGTAACAGATGAAAATTGTAAACTCTCACTACTCATAACTTACGACTTAGGCCTTAATAATGCATGAATCCAACCTGCATGTAAGTTAGCAGAGAAACTTTGATTTGCGAATATTTTTCATTGCACCAATTTCTGGCCTTGTAAAAAAAGTTCATTCTCTTGCCTTCTTTGAAAAATTTGCTACGTCGTAACCTTGAAATACTGGAACTATTTCTATTTTCAGGTTGCATGCAGGAACTGCGTAAATCGTTTATTGACATTGAGGTTGCATTTTTTAAAGATATCAACCGGAACTGATAAAACCGAAGATTATTCTGAAACGATCGACCTTGCGGATTACGTCAAAGAAAGCTGGAAAATTATAGCGCTTCCTCAGAACTGTTTATCTGGTGTTCGCCTGACTGACTGAGCTTTATGAATTCTGCGCCGTATCTTGTTGAAGTCACGATTGATTTTTGGCTTAATGAATGTAGATTATTTCTGAATTATCGAATATGTCGTTATGGCAATTCATTATCTGGTATTTCAGTTGATTAAATACCAAGTGGAGAGAATATCATTTTCAAACGAAACATTTTCCAACATTTCATTCTAATTAATGCCGGTTTTTCTCAAACACGAGTGCTGGTTGCGTCTTGAATCGCCTTCTGTTTATAACTGAAACAAAAGTGGAATGATGTGCACGATCATCAATTTATTTGGTTGAACCGCTTCCTTCTAATTTATTCACTCGCATTTGCCAACTTCTTTTCCTTAGAACTTCCACAGTTGTTTATAACATTGTGAATTGTTTCTAACTCTTTCTGGAATCATTAAAGTCAGAACAATGCTTATTTATTTCCCTCTCCACTTTTATTCTTTGTTTTTAAATGAACACATTTAAAGGGAAACTCCAGTTTTCGAACTAGATGGTTGAAAAGAGATGGCTGTGTCTGAGTTTCAAATTGTATGACAGACTCAATGGGGAACACCGCATATCGATATCTATCACCTTTTTTTCAATAAGATACCCCGTATATTTGTGCATGTTTCAATAGAGCTTGAAGTTACCTTTCCAAAAATGTAGCACACTTGATGTTTCGCTAGAGTCATCTTTGAAATACAGAGCTTTTAGGTTTTTTCATGTAGACTTTGAAAGGAATACTTTGATCAAGTTTTTTTTGTACCTTGGGAGCTGTCTGACTTGTCCATTTAGTTCAAGTCTCCAGAAAACACTGCAGCCTCTTGGACTTATTGCGTTTATTCTCCCATCTTCTCTTGGCACCCATTCCATCAGTCTCGTTCCCTGTACTACTTTGTACAGGTTCCGTGTTGGATGTTCGTCATATTCTTCTGGGCGTAATTTTGTAAGTCCATATATTGCCTGTCTCCTGTGATTCAGTGCCTCACATTCGCATAAGATGTGTAGAGCTGTTTCTATTCCTTCGTTGCATAATCTGCAGTTGAGGTCTCCGTTGTACAGCCCCATTTTATTCAAGTATCCTCTAAGCGAACAATGACCGGTTAGTAACCCTGTGATTATTCTGAGCCGATCCCTACTATATTGAATAAGTTCTTCAGTTCTTTTCTCGGACGGATCCCTAATGAAGGTTCTACTGTGTCTGTTGCCAGGTACTTTTGTCCAGTACTCTGTGTGCTTCTTATTGGTCCATGTCCTAACCTGGTTTCGTACCAATGATTTTGGTACCCCCAGAACTGGTTCAGGACCTATATATGAAGTTGATGATCCGCGTCTAGCGCATTCATCAGCTTCATCATTACCTGTGATTCCTGAATGCCCTGGCACCCAGTACAAAGTTAATTTGTTTCTGTTTGCTTCATCAGTTTGCGCCTTTGCGCTCCCATGGCCTTTTCTTTTGCAGTTCGACTTTCGTCAATCCTGCAGTTATGCTTTCGGCGGGGCTAGTGTTTCCCGCCGTTTGACTATGTCTTTCCTGGTCAGTTTGCACGTCCAGGATAGTCTGATTTTGCGAGGAGTCGCTCGAAGAGTCATCCTCTGGTGTTCTGGTAGTTCTTGTTGTATCCATCCAATTCCCACGAGTATGGGGGAAAGGGTTGTCTACATCCATGGTGCCCCCTGTATGGATGTAAGGCTGGATACTTTGGGAGGTCGCCTGATATCCCAAAGGCTCCGTTAGTGATATCTGATGAGGATCAGGTACCATTCATCCTTTGGCACGGGTCGCATAACACCTTGGATTAGGCCTGGGTCCTTCTTGGTCTGACTGTTCTGTTACGGCCTCTTCAGCATGGGAGACCCTACCAGCAGCTAAGCTGCCGCCGACATAGCCGTAACTTTATCACAGTACGCAAGCCCTCCCATCACGACAAGGTGAACACCCCTCGGGAGGGACTTTGATCAAGTAGGCTTTGGACGATACGGCGATAAAACAGAAAGCAAATATTTACTGGTAGCTGTCAAATTTTGATTTTAGCTTTTCAATTAGTGGTTTTTGTTAAATTTTCAAACACATTCGCAATGAAGTATTAGAATTATGAAAAATGGGATATGATAGTCTATTTTATACATATCGGGGAAAATGCAGAAACAGCAAACAATTTGTATCTTTGGACGACGCGGCGATAAAATAGAAAAAAATTGTTCAGCAGTAGCTATAAAATGTTGAGTAAGCTTTTCACAGCAGTAATTAGAACTGTTAAAAAAAACCTTATATTCCGTTCCGGATATGGTAATCTGACGTGGAGGTGATGTGAACTGGCCACAGAGATCGTGTGATTTGACCCCCTTAGACTTTTTCTTGTAGTGTTTTCTTAAGTGGCAGGTGTTTGCGAATAAGCCACACAGCGGTCCTCCAAGCCAACATAACCCTTGCCATCTGGCACCTAACAGCTAATCGCAATATTTTCTTAAATATAGGATCTGGTTTATGTCTTCCTGAACATCCTAAACATTTTTTTTTCAGTTGCTGTTGTGGTGGCTTTCTTCATCTGCTGGGCTCCCTTCCACACTCAAAGACTACTAGCAGTCTACCTCTCAACCGCCTCCGAGGAAATTCAACAGATGTTTTTCGATTTTTATCTCTACCTGATGTACACTTCTGGAGTATTGTACTTCGTCTCCACGTGTGTCAATCCTGTTTTGTATCACATCATGTCGAATAAATTCCGAAAAGCTTTCAAAGTGAGTACAAACACTGATCAGTTATTTTACATTGAAAAACAAGGACACTGCAGTTCAATGTTCTGTTTTTTGTACAAACTGGTAAACGAGAGTGATTAACTGGGATTCGCTATTCACCTGCGGAAACAATTGAATCTCAATAAACAGTATGGGAAATTCAATAATCGATCAAGGCAAAACAAATGACCTTCAACGCGCCACGACCAAAATGTCATCAATTACTTTTTTCTGTTGGCAAATGATCATTAATGAACATCCACCTCCAACCTAGATATTCCAGTTCAACCGCAATGCGAAGCTTTCTGTAGTCCCAACAGCCTGAGCACGATGAACTGTGCCACCCAAAACCGGAGAGCATTTGTGGGTTCTGCTGCCACAGAATTATAAACTACTAAAGTATTTGAATTAGTGTGTTAAGTTGTTTGTGGCATCTTATATACACTCTCCTCAGTTGATTCTGTATGAGCAGAGAGGACCGGAGAGAGGACTCGCTGGATGCAAGGAGAATGGGAACGACAAATGTATTAGGCAGCCCGTGGGTTGGGCTACCTATCGAGCGCGGGACTGGGGGCCCTGTCCAGGAAGCCAATATGTGGCCTTACGGACGGGATCGCCAGACTCCTGGTCAGTGGCAGAAATAAGTAGGGCGAGGGCTGCTAAAGCTCCCCAAGAGCCTTTGCGAAACATGCCACCGTGGACCAGCCTACCCAAGCTAAGATGTAAGAAATCGTGCCGACAGCTGAATGGCCGCAGGGTGATATGCGATTACGAACGATCCCCTTGGGGAACCGGGCAAAACCTCATTTCAATCAGCCTCCCTCTGGTAATGCGGGGCTCTGCCAGAGGTCCAGAGGTGACCAACTCTTCCCTTGCTACTCGTGGGAACACACATATATGGAACAAACAAAACGGACACAACAAGAACCAATCCCGAGGCTGGACAGCAGTACTCACGTCAATCTATGGCGGTGGCTGGGTATGAACAGAAATGTCCACTCCAATCTACCGCTCGGAATGAGGCTGGACATAGTAGATCACCTCGTGATGCAATACAAAGGCGGCGCATTTGCGATGCCGAGGCCAAAAGGAGAAAGAGAGCGATAGAGGCAGGAGTGGCAGCAACTATGAATGCACCCTCCTTAGTAGGGTGCACTCCACCTTCAACAGCAAGGGCACTTCCTGCGGCAGGTGCCAAGATCTGCGCCTTGAATAAAGGCAAGGAACCGGCTGCTCCTGCAAGAAAGCGCCCTCACTTGAACATCCCCACTAGGGGAACCCCAGGAAGGTTGAAGAAGCCGCGCAGCAACAGTAATATCGCTGCACCTTCCAAAACCTTCGCGGAGGTTCCGTGAGATACCTCAAGGTTGCCAAAGAGAGTGTGTGTTCGGCGAGTCTTAGCCTAAACCTGCCGATATAAAGAAGATGTTTTCTAGTGACCTGTTTACCTTCCTGGAAAGGACAGTATGGACCTAGGAGGACAACTCTTCGGGAGAATGTACAATGGGTCACATGTGGCCTAAGTGCTGTGGGTATATACTCACCCTCCCTACTATACACATACATACATGTTTTAGGCAGCAATATAAGGAAAACTCCTTTATGGTTCGGATCGATTACCGCAAGGCATTCGACACAACATAGCATGAGGTCATCTTGCACTTGCTCAAATGCCTTGCGGTACCCAACGAAACAGTGAGTGCGGAGTACTTTGCTACTACTTTGGAGTACTTGTTTCAACAAAATATCAGGCCAAAATTCAGGCCAGCTGAATACCCAAGAGACGTATACTCACCTTGGAGTAGAAATAGGTATGCCACTCACAAGAGATAACCAGAGTGAAAGACAAGTATCAGCTCAGACAAACTTAGTCATCAGACCTGTAGGGAAAGAAGATTCGATTCATCAAAGCTGACTTTTACTTTTCTCAGGCCGAGTGGGTTGAAGTCAAAAACTGAGAATTCCATCATGGTGTGCCAGGTTGGTGACTTGACGTTTCAGTTTTCCATAGTCGCGTCATGGGTATGGAGTAGAGGTTCCTGCCACTTTCAACTAATTTTGCAAACTAATGATAAATATCGAAGGCATATAGTCAAAATTTATTCCGATACAAATTCAAAATGTTTCTCATTCACTTCCTGACAGTAGTTGAAGTCTATTTACAAATTCATTCCCCAAGTTACAAAATGATCCTGGGGGGATTTCGTTGCAAGCACCTCTTTTTCTATCCACGAGTTCCGAAGTGAATTATCGTTGTACATTTCAAATATCACATATCTCTTCAAAAACATTTAGAGGCATCATATCATGTGATCTAGTGGGTTCTTCTAAGGGACTACATCTATCTGTCTATTGCTTTGGATAAAATTGACAAACCCAAATTAAGTTTCAGTTTATTTCAGCAAGATGAGATACCTCTTCATTACGACAGATTGCTTTGAAAGTGCTAAATGACGTTAGGATGCAGTTCCAAACTATGACGGCCTTCAAACCCGACTGAAGATAGGAACACTGCTAAATGACCATCATTAAAATTGGTGGATAAGAAAACGTGGTCCCTCAGAATGACCCGCTAGACTACCTGATATGGCACCTCAGATGTTTTTGTGTGAATTTGTGAAATTTTGTTTCACAGCTCCCAACGAAATTACTCCAGAAACATTGTATTCTGGATTTGCCTTTGTTTTATTCCGTGTGCTGTGATCGTGTTCAATTATTTCTGTTTCATTCTTGCTGAAGTTGAACTTAATATTTAAGAAATAAAAAAATAGTTGTCTCAAATCCATATGTGGCATATTTGGTTAGTGAAATATCTTGAACTCATCAGTTTCGTAGATAACTTTCGATTATGGCAAAATATTCAGATAATATACAATGTTTATTTCAGAAGACTATCATTCAGTACCGCTCTGTGGATTTTCTTTACCGTTTCTGGAGTCGTTATCTCATTTGGTCGACCACTGCGATGCTCGCCTTGGCAGCTCGTAATTTAATTTTCTGCTACTCAATATTTTACTGTTGTAAAGGAAGAAGCAGATCCACTCAGAGTAGAATCCTGTTAAGCTTTCATATTGGTTAGGTTGAGGCCTTTCAAATGAAAGTATTGCACCAATTAACAATAACGTATTTCCCCTATTTTCACAAATTCACCGAAAACGTTCGCTATTGAAGGCTTGTCACACGAATACTGAACAAAGCAGCGTCTTCAAACTTGAAACATATGATATATAATGGAATTGGCCAATACTTGATGAAAATCCATAACTGTCGTATTCAAAAAACACTATTAAACATTTAGTGTTTAGTGAAAATCTCACAATAAAGTGTTGAAACATATGCTTTATAGATTGGGTGCAATATTTTCAGAACAACTCTCGCCATTTCTAGGTCAGCCCTGATACTTTTGGGACTACCCTGGTATTGCTGTATCATCAGCACAGCCTATAATATTCCCACTGTTCTCAAGTGATAATGTACTGTGTACAAGTAATAATGTACATGAAATAGGGGCTAATACTGTACCTTGGATACTCCATATTCAATTTCATTTAATCGCTTAGTGTCTCGTTTATTTTCACTCCTTGCTTTGTTCGTTTCGAATAACTTTGGGATACTTTCAAAAAGTGTCCTTATACCAGCGTGCTCTGAAGTTTTCCTTTTTTAAAGCATCCTATATTTTCTCTGTTAGTGCCAGAACAACATCTTCGGTGGAAGTTCAAATTGATTTGCAGACAGAAGATTATGTTTGTTAGAAAACGATGAGAGTCTAGTTTTTGATATTTTCTCAAAAACCTTCAATAGATCATAAGTTTGGTGAGACGTATCAAGTTTTAAATGAATTGTATTTTAGTGTGACTATATTTTACTTTCATTACTATCATTATCAATTTTTCGACTTATTCGAACGAAATGTTATAATGAACGAACTGAGTTTTGTGAAAAGTATCAAGTTTTAAATGAATCGCATTTCAGTGTAATTATATTTTACTATCATTATCTGTCATTACTATCATTATGAGTTTTTCAACTCATTTGAACGAAATGTAATAATGAACTTTTCATGAGCAGTTTCAAGTTTCAAATGAATTGCATTCTAGTGATGAATCAGCCTAATTGTAATTTCAACTTCTCGCCCAAAACCAATTTCATATGCATGAATGGCACTCCAATCCAGAGATACGACTCAGTGAAACGAGACTTCTTTAGAGGTAACTTCTGAAGAGATGAATTCCAGAAGTGATGCATTTTTCTCCTTTGTGTATAAATTTCGTTGTGATATAAATGTTGGGAAAACTGTAAGCGGAGTCGTTCGAATTAAAGACTCCTTTGATCAGGTTCATAATGAGGAAAACTGAGGGAGTTAACAAATATTAAAACTAGGTATAAAACTTTTTGCTTTGATATGGATTCCAAACTGCTTTGTAAATTAGACAGGATATTTTATACTGGGAAATATATCTGACAATGAAACAACAGAATAGTAAACTAACCTTAGGCTACATCATACATAATCATATAATCAAATATATAACTTACCTGTCCAACTCAAAGAACTCGAAAGAATCGGGAAATCCTGCTATTTTGAAACATTGCGAAGGATAAAGAGCTATTATTCCCTCCCTCAATTCTTTACTTATTAATTTTAATTGACATACTTGTTTTTTAACCTTTTTTAATCACATTGTTTACTCGTATGTGTAATTCATGTAATTTTGGATTTTACTAGTTTGGACTTCTATTGTCTAATATAATTCGAAATCTCTGATTGAACAAATAAAGTTAGATTGAATAGCAATAAAACGTGAAATGAAAATGAAATTAAACGAATGAACTGATCAAGAAAAAACATGGAAATAATCACAAAAAAGAGTGAAAACAAATAAAAAATAATAAAAATGAACAGAACATTGAAAAAATTGAATAATGAATTGAATTGAAAAAAGATTTCAAACCAAGTCACTTTACGACGTTTCGATTGTTAGTATCCACAATCGTCTTCGGGT